ACTGAGAGCCCATCTCTGCAGGCAATTGCACAGAAGTAAGGGTGGCATGGTATGGTATTGCCACCCTTGCTTCTGTGGTGCTACTTGTGGGGCATCGACTTCAGAGCTGGATTCGTGGCCAACAGCCGCCACTCTCTGACTGCACAGCTCTAAAGGCAACACAGAAGTAAAGGTGGCAAGTCTGTGACACCTCTCCCCCAACATCCTGTCCCTCCTCTATCAGCCCTCTCCCTTTCCATGTTATGGAAAACAATCAAATTCCAGGCATTCCACACCCATCCCATTTTCCTGGTACAGACAAACCCTGACCTTGCTTTAAGTTAAGAGGAAGCTGCATACCAAATTTGATGGCATCTAAGAGGAAAAACTTCAACAACGAATAGTCTAGCAGTACAGCTGGTCTCCAACTTACAGCCACCTCAACTTACGACCATCCACACTTACGACCAAAGCGGTCGTAAATGCGGGCTCCGAGTTACGAACGTGATCCACGCTTATGAACAGTGTGGTCGCAATGTAACTTAATGGGTTCTGAGTTACGACCATTCCGAGTTACGGCCAAGCATTTGGTCCGTAACACATTCGTAACTCGGGGACCAGCTGTACCTTAAAGACTAACAAAACATCATGAGCTTTCATGGGCACAACACTCTTCTTCAGACACCCTATATCAGAAGCCCACCGACCGCTACACTAACCTTCATGCCTCCAGCTTCCATCCCAGACACATTTCTCAGCCTATTGTATACAGCCAAGCCCTAAGATACAACTGAATTTGCCCCGACCCCACAGACAGAGACAATCACCTACAAGATCTTTACAGAGCATTCCTAAAACTGAAATACCCACCTGGGAAAGTGAAAAAACAAATTGACAGAGCCAAAAAAGTACCCAGACATGAACTACTTCAAGATAGACCCAAAAGAGAAAATAACAGAACTCCTTTTGTTATTACCTATAGTCCACAACTCAGACCCCTCCAGCGCATTCTACAACCCATCTTGGAAAATGATCCCTCACTCTGAGGCCGTGGGAGAAAAGCCTATTCTTGCTTACAGACAACCCCCCCAACCTGAAACGAATTCTTTCTGGCAACCATGCCACATCACAAGCCTCCAGAAACCCAGCCCTGCACCCAAAAACGATGCCAACTCTGCCCACATATCTATACTGGTAAATACGTCACTGGAGCCAACAACATAAGCTACCAAATCAAAAGGTCATTTGACTGCACATCCAATAATTTGATCTATGCCATCAGTGCCCCATTGCCAGGGCTCGACAAATCAGTGAATCTACTCGACCATAGCAAGTAGATTTCAGCTGGTCACCCCGTTCACCAACGGCGCACGCATGCGCAATGCGGGTCTTGTGTTTGCGCAGTGCAGGGCTGGTGAGTAGATTTCGCCGTGGTTTGTCAAGCCCTGCCCATTGCTATATATATTGGACAAACTGGACAGTCTCTACAGGAAAGAATCCTAAACTCATAACTCCGGTCTCATGGTACCATCTACATGTTTTGTTAGTCTATAAAGTGCTTCCAGAACATTTTTTTTTTCTGTAAATGAAGTTAAGTTTCAAGGCTTTCCTGTTTATTTGGCTTGTGGAATTGGCCTAACACAACATGGTGGCTATGTCTACATTGAAATGATCTTGCGCAAATACTCTTGTGTTAAAGTATTTGTGCATGAGTGCGTCTACACTGGCATGTGCCTTTGCGCAAGAGCATCCGTGCCAGTGTAGATGCTCTCTTGAGCAAGAAAGCTACGATGGCCTTTTTAGCCATTGGGCTTTCGTGCGCAAGAAATTCATGTTGCCTGTCTACACTGGCCTCTTGTGCAAGAACAGTTGCGCAAGAGGGCTTATTCCTGAGCTGGAGCATCATAGTTCTTGCGCAAGAAGCACTGATTTCACACATTAGAATGTCAGTGTTCTTGCACAAGAACTCCCTGCCAGTGTAGACAGGCAGCATGTTTTTGCGCAAAAGCGGCCTCTTTGGCGCAAGATCACGCCAATGTAGACACAGCCGGTAACTTTGAGATCCATTAATGAGTGCCCGGGCAGGTTAAAATGTTCTCCAACAGGTTTCTGTGTGTTACCTTTTCGGATATCTGATTTAGGAGGAGTTCTAGAACAAATAGACTTGCAGGCAGACACAGATGGATTCACCCACAGACAGAACCACAAATCTCTAATATAGTAGACTTCCGATAACCTATGGGACCTAGGTGGTGCCAGATTATCAAATATGCCGGACTATCAGGAGGTACAATAAGATGGTTTTATATATATATATATATATACTGTATACATTATATACTGTATATAAAGTGTTCTTAACCCTTTTTATTGTACATCCTGTATACAGTATACTGTAATGTTTTAGTTTTTTTAACCCTTTTTTACCCTTTTTGCTCA